GGGTGACGGCGATGCTCCCCCGGCCAGGGTCAGTGGCACACAGGGGCGACACCGCAGCCCGGGTCGATTTAAGTGAAATTGGCCATTGCTAAAGCTTTGCCCCAAACACGTGCCAAGCTGTCCGAAGCTGCCAGCATCAGCCGTAATTCCTGATAATTGCTTTTTGGTTAAGTCAGCTAACACAGAGAATTATAAAGTGTACGTATATCTAGTCTCTCATATATATATGCATGTACATAAACACCCCCACGTATATGTATACTGCCCATTTCTTGGGTGTAGAAGTCATCACCTAGCAGAGCTGTATTTCCCACTGTTTATTTAAACGTCGAATATGCAAAGTAACTGTGTGTTTACAACCGTATCTTTACCTCCTGACACTATCTTGAGATCACTTCAAGACAGCTTAGTTATCTCTACAAGTGGCAACGCTGGGACCCGCTTCTTGTTTGAAATAAAGCTGGAGGGTGTGTTTGCTCCCTCAGCTTCGGAAAGGAAAACAACTTGCAAACTAAGTTAGGACTCCGAGGAGGTCCCTTGTTTAGTAACTGTCTCAGCAGCAAACGCGAGTTTTAGAACTTTTTCTTGGCTATTTCATTGCAACCAGATTTCCCCGCGGGAAGATATTCGGCGTGAATATGGCTTTGCCTCTCTTTCACCCAAACTCTGCTGCCTTTTAAAAAAAAATAGGACTTTGAAAAAACTGTGTTTTCCTGATGAGTAGTGATTGGAGGGCACTTATGCACTACGCTGATGAGGGCGGTGTAACAGCCCATATGGAAGTGAACACAAAAATGGGATTTAAACAAACTCAAAGGGGACGTTGAAGATGGGGGGGAGGGGGGCGGGACACAAGACGGAATATTCAGAAGGGTTTGGGGTGGAAACGCTCGGGAGCGGGTACCGTTTCGCGCACAGGTTAAAGGAAAGGCACCCAGCAGCCTAAGCGGAGCCTGCCCTTTGAAAAAGACACACAAAGAAATCCGTGCCCATGGGGTAGTTGCATTTTGCCTGGTTTGGGAAGCTTTCAGATAACCGACGGCTACAGCCCGCAGCCCCGCGGAGGAGGGTTCCCGGCGGGGTGGGCTGCGGGGCGCCGTGCGCGG